CTGCAAGTCCCATGGATGGGTCCGTGATGTACTACAGCCTGTCCGAGGTCAGGGCAGACCGTGGTGGACCTACCTGTGTTGGCATGGCAGAAAACTCAGCCAGCAGGTCCTTCTTTATGTCCCCCACTTCCACTGGTCCCACTCTCTCCGGCCTTCCAGCTAAACTGGAATCCATTCTCTCTGCAAACATATCAGTCCAATCAACCACCGTTTTATCAAAGTCTCCCCGCGGGAAGTTTTACCTACAGCTCACAGGCAGCCTAGACCCCCGCTGAGTGCCTAATAGAGCTTTAATCTGCGCCGATTTTACCAGCTGGATGAGGTGCTGCCTTTAAACATGTCTCCCATGATCAGCCGGCTTCTGTGCGACTGAGGTTCAAACGAGTTTTAATTTCCCAGAAATGATAATGGAGTTCGGCCTGACTCCAGCACTGCCCCAATACAAGCTACTGGAGTGTAAACAGCCTGACTAAAACTGGCCACCACAGTCACACAAACACAGCTCAGAGTAAATCACAGCTTTGACCAATCACAGCAAACAAACACAAAGAAACAACAGCAAACAGAAGGTAAACAAAGACCGTTTTTACACTCCGCTAGCTTTGTTGTTAGCATTAGCCACCTCAATAACGCGTTTTTACGACTTTAGCAAAGCGGAATTTCGTTTTAAATGACAGGATTACGAATTAAAGCAATATTGTATGAAACTCGAACTCACGTGTCGTATATTTTATTTCACACACACTCTATTTACTACCGCAAACATGAGAAACAATCACTGCCTGTCGGCCTTGCTGCGCTGTCCTCTCCGCGGTTTACTTTTTAAACTAGAACAGTACGACCAATCAGAGAACGTATACGAAGCAACGTCACGGAATCGTTGTTGCCTTCATATAGAATCTCGCGAGATCAATATAGTGTTTCTTTTTAACAAATAAAGTCACACGACGACGCTGCTTTTTGTTGTTGCTGGTTTTGTTTAGTGATTGTCGAGTTTGGAGTTTTCTATATCTCAGAAATATAGAAATAAGTTATCGAAGCCAGTAACAAATGAACAAGTGTGGTTAAAGAAATCAACCGTCATATTTGAAATTAAGAATAGCTGTCAGCCCTTTTAGAAAAAATGTAACATAAACTTTATTTAATTTTCTCTTCCCTTCGACCCAATTTTCTTCTATGTATGAATTCTTGTTCGGTTAAAAAAACAAAACACCGCCGCATGAAATTGACGTCATCACGTGGCGTCGGTAACGGGCAGGAGGATTGAAGGGGATTTGGGGATTAGATGCTGACTGCAGCGGATCCATTTGGACTTACTCCTCTTTATCGGGACCAAAGTGACTCCGTGAGGCGAAGCTGCAGCGGCTCCACCGAAGAAACGCCGCGAAAAGCAAACGGGCGGAGGACGAAGACGAAGCGACGCGGTTGCCTTGACAACGGTGAGACAACCCGGGAGGAGGGGAATTATTTTTAGTGCTGCTATTGATTAACTCATAGTGTGGCGATTCACCTCTAACAGGTGAGAGAGTTCTGGAAATCAGATCCATCAAACACGGTACGCGAGCTGAGAGGGGTCAATTAATAACACACATGACAGGAGGCAGAGGATACTGATAGAGACTGACATACGACGATTACATATCGTTGCGTCTCGAGAGAGCAGCACGTGTGTGTAGGTAACAGCGCCCTGTCACATCACAAACTGTTATTAAACCAGGAGTGAAATAAAAAGATCTGTGGGGAGAGAAAGGAGCGAGTGGCGGAGAGCCTGGAGGGTGGAGGTATGAAAGGTGTTTGAATGAGAGGGAGACAGGTGGGAGGAGCAGAGGTTCAGGTATTGATAGAGAGTGGCTATATGGGCCAAAGGTGGATGAAGATGGAGCTGCAGGCAGGAGGAGACGAGGAAGACCTCAGAGGAGGTTCATGGATGTAGTGAAGGAGGCCGTGCTAACACATTTCATTTTTATTCAGCGTGACCAAAACGAGCCACTCAGCTACAACTGTCGCCACCTGGTAGCTTTCAATAGACTACAGCGGTTTTTGACGAGAAAGTTGTTTCCATGTTCTTACGGTCTGTGCTCAGGACTCTTCCTGTGACGACCCCGTGTGAATAAAGCTCCACCTGCCCCTTCTGCTGTGATGTCCTCCGCTGAGTCGAGTGGTGATGGAGGGAAGTGGCTGGACGCTCACTACGACCCGGTGGCTGGCATCTACACCTTCTCGTCCTGCGTGGACCTGGCAGACCTGAGCGGGGACGGGGAGAACCGGCTGGTGGTCGGGGATCTGGGCTCCGGGTCGTCGGGGATGAAGCTGAAGGTGTACCGCGGCACGGCGCTGATGAGCGAGAGCACCCTGCTTGACCTGCCCGCTGGCCTCGTCGCCTTCTTCATGGACCTGCACGAGCCCCGCATCCCCGCTGTCGCTGTGGCCTCCGGACCCTGCATCTACGTCTACAAGAACCTGCGGCCATATTTCAAGTTCACCCTGCCTGGCCTGGAGATCAACACACTGGAGCAGGTCTGTCTCTGTGTGTGTGTGTGTGCTTGTATTACCTACATCATGGGGACCCTGGTTCATTTAAGGACAAACAGTCCCTAAATGAACCAGGGTCCAGTTATGGTCATCTCCAGGCA